TATTATTTCTAGAAGTTTTGCATGGTAGACCGACTTAAAAACATGCCGTTTTGTGTACAGGAGCCAATATATACTTAAATCAAGCATTCCTATGCTTTTCAGTGGTAGGGATTGAAGCCGGAAATTGACAGTTTAGATGGACACGTTATCTCATTTTATCTTGTATATTCTTTTCAATTAACCTTTTTGCATCGTTTTCAGCTACACTTTCTGCGACTAGTGTTGCCAAAAACATATAATCTTTTTTATATATATTATTCACAATACAACACATTTTCTTCATTTTTGTGTTTCTCTCTTCGTATTATACTTTGAATCAATGGAATCAATAATATATGAGAAAGGTTATGTGTTCTTGGCAGTACTAGTCGCAGAAAGTGTAGACAACAGTCAATTTCCGGCTTCAAGCTACGAACAGAATGCTTGGTCTAGGTATATATAGGTCTGTTCGCGTTGCTTGCACTTTTGGCACTCGACATCTTCACTTTCTCTCTTTTCAAGGCAAAATATGTATCTATTTCATTTTAAATGCAAAAATATTTGGGGATTTTATACAACGCTAACAGACCTTAGGTTTGTTTTCTGTGGCTGAACTAGTGTACATTTTTGGAACTTGAAGTAAGATAGGTATATGTTTTGTAGCGGATTGCTACATATAATAAATGTAGGTAATGGAGGAAACTCAGATTCACAAGTAATAACGTTTGTTTATTAGCACATATAATATCTTATCGCGATAATTGTAACTCGACATCTCACGTGTGTCGCAGTTGAAGAAGAACTAACTAAGAGAGTATGCTAGATGGGAAATTTAGTATCGTGTTCGTGAAAGCGCGCCATCTGATCGCGGAGTGTGTGAGTCTAAACGAGTATAAGGTATGGTTGAAGTATAACTCAAAGAGTGTGAAAATTGCGTGCGTGCGCGCGCGCGTGTGTGTGTGTGGTGTGTGGGGGGGGGGTGAAAGTGTGAATGTGTCTCTACAGTGATATTTGTTGAAAGTGAGAAAGAGTGCTAATGCAGTCTAGTGCAGGAATAGAAAACAGATTACTTATGTCGTTGATCTTGACACTTCATTTGGGAATTAAAAGATGGCATGGGAGCTTCACATGTGTCTCGTGCGCTACTTTTTACGTTTAGAAAGGCTGGACGACAAATGGAAGGAATTATCGAAAAAGGCTGAGAGATCGCTCGAAGGTTTAGCTAATCGAACAGAGCAATTGCGCCATGTCACGAAGTAAGTAGATAACAATTGCAGGCTTCTCTAGTGATCGCGCGATGATCTGCTACTGCGGAATTTTGACGGAAGTAAACTGGAATAAAATAGGTGGTTCGATTGCGCGGCAAAGCGAAGATAGAAAAAAAGATATAAATAATTGATTTTAGAAAAATAACGTTTTTTCATAATCAATAGCATCTTGAAACCACCAATAAATCGAAAATCGAAATGAATGTATTGCATACGAGATAAAAAAATAAAACGTTATTATAAAATGTAAATAAAACATTTTGTTACCACACAAGAAAATAAAGTATCCCAGAGAACATGCATGTCTGAAAGACATCCAAAAGACATCTTGAACTAGACGCCTTTAAAACTTTACCAAAAGACGCTATACATCTTTCAAATATTTTCGAGTAATTATACAGTTTAGCATAATCACTTCAAAGATCAATAAAATTAGGCTTATTCGATGCATTTGTGCATGAAATGAAAGAATCTGGTAAAAAAAGCGTCACTCTGCCCTGTGATCCGAAATATTAAGTTAAAATTGATAACTATTAAGGTTAGGAAATCTATCCTAGAGACAAAATGAGAGTAATTCTTCAGAAGAGTTACCTCCGATTTCGATGAAATTATGTTCATTCGATGCGTTTTTGCATAAAATGAAAGAATCTGATAGAAAAAAAATCTGGGACTACTCTGCGAAGCGAGATATTGGGCGTTAAAGTTGACTAAAGTGATACTACATAGCGCGATCATTAATCTGTCATATAGACAGTGGAGTGTGTATACTAATATAGTATAGAAATATAGCGGCTACGCCGCTTTGAACAAAAAGAAAATAACATATCCTACCCGCTTGAGGTCTAATTGTCTAGAAGTTGCAGCTTAGACAGTGTCCGCTTGGAATATTTTTACCCTATGAAGACAGTGGAGTATAAGAATAATTTTTTTAGAGCTTTTTACTGTCTAAGCTGTAACTTCTAGATAATTAGGCCCCAAGCGGGTAGGATATGTTATTTTTTTCGTTCGAGACGGCGTAGCCGCCCCAAATCAATAAGCATTAGTTTATATACTCCATCGTCTACAGATTAATGATCGCGTTATATAGTAATTCTTCATCTTATATGCAAAAAATGAATGTTCCATATCGCAAGATGTAATGGGAGCGTATTTATATTTACTCCAATAGTGTGCTGGAATTTTACAGGGCCCTTCAACGTTATTACCTTTCAAAATTTCATTTATTTTCGAAATTATAGTAAATCCAGAATTTCTTTTTAAGACTGAATCAAATTTCAAAATAACTTCTTTTCCACATTCGCCTGGTATTTTTAAAATATTTTCTATATTAGTTACCAAATCCATGGACTTAGTTAAAAGCATATATACCTCTCGTTTCTAACTTTTTCATAATTTTTGATAAATATTTAAAATGAGTTTAAATATGTACCAAATCGTTATCAAGTTGTTTATTTTGCAATACTTCCTAAACCATTTTTATTGATGTAACATCATTTGCATCAAATGATTGAACCACCTGTATTTTTAAATAAAAATAACAATTGCATAAACAACATGTTATACATATTAATAAATTTTACTATAATTTAATAATAATAAAAGAAAAAATATAAACCTCTTTGATTTCAGCGAGATATTTTGAATAAAACAATGCTGCTTGCAACCATGTTCCTCATCTTGTTATAACTGATTCAGGAGATAATGGTACCATTTTTTCTCGGTAACTTTCAACACGTAGTGGAGCTTTTAAAAATACTTTTTTTTATTGAAGATATTAATTTGTTAACTGATTGGAAATGAAAACGTATTTGTTCCGTGACTCTATTTAATCCATGAATTAAGCAAGTTAAATGCAACATATTAGGATAAAATATTTTCAAATGATCAATAACTTTTATCATAAAGGGTGTCCCAAAATTAACGCAAGATTTGAATTTGCCGCCATTTGTGCAGTAAAGTGTTGGCAACCCAAAAAAAAAAACAATTTAACAGCTGACAGTTTAGGGTTAGTGAAAATGGAGCGTGAAAATGGATTATTGAACATCAACAAATGGATGCTGATTTTTCGAGCAAAATCATCCTAAGCGATGAAGCACATTTTCACCTTGATGGCTTTGTTAATCGCCAAAATCGCCCCCTAGATCGTGTGATTTAACACCATTAGATTTCTTTTTATGGGGTTATTTGAAATCACAGGTCTATGTCAACAAGTCCACAACCACCCGTGCATTAAAGGAGGAGATCAACGCTGCATCAACGAAATTCAGCCACATTTATGCAAAATGGTCATGGAAAATTTCGACAAACAAGTGCGTATGTGCATGCAAAGCCGTGGAGGCCATTTGCCCGATGTGTTATTCCACAAATAACCCTATCCTATGTACTTTATGATTAAAAAAAAAAATAACAATCAAAAGACTAAAAACTGTGTTTTCTATTTAATTCAAATCTTGCGTTAATTTTGGGACACCCTTTATATGCAGCTGTATCTGTGACAAGTAATAATACTTTTTCTTCATTATCATTTTTGGCCATAATGTCAACAGTGTTGTATTGATCGAGCAATAATTGCATGATTCGTTTGTCCCAATTGTTTACATGCAAGTAAATATGGAATTCCTAGTTTACCTTCGCATATTTTTCCAATAATTAAATTAGCTATATAACGATCAAAAGTATCTGTAGTCTCATCTACAGAAATTCAAACATAATTTTTACCAATATTATGAATTTTTTGAATTTTTCTATTGTAACATTTTTTGAGAGAATTTTTTCGAAGCGTCAATTCATTAGGAATTTTTCGATTTGTATATTTATTTAAAAAATTATTCCATATTTTATTATCGAGTGCATGCCAAGGCATATTTACAGCCACCATTGTTTCACACAATTCATAACAAAATGAATTATATTTTAAATTAATATTCAAATCGTAATTTTCAGCTTTATTGCTTTTATGTACTGCAATGTTTAAATGTTTTGTCAATTGCGATTTTCGTTCACATGAAATCTTGAAAGCAAAATTTATTTACATAATTAGATTGTGCACAATACTTAAATTTAATAATATAAAATTGAAAAATTTAACATATTTCACGTATTCAACACAAATTCAATATAAAACTTTAAGGACTTGAGTGGACTAAACCAATATACAAAATGTTTTTTGCTATGAAATATCAAATAATATACATACATATTTGTTGCATAAGTTACAACAAACACTTGCTCCATCAAAAATGAAATATTTTTCATCCATTGATTTTATCCAATCGTTAATTAGAACACATCTCTTCTTTTTACTTTTTCCTATTTTATGAATTTGATAATATTTTTCAAAATAATATTCACTGTCTCGCGACTACTTCACAAGATAATAGCTAGCAACGTATTAATTTCAGAACATCTGAACGTTTGCATGTTCCAAAGTGATAATGATAAATATTTACGTATTTTACTTTATTTGAGGGATTTATTCTGTAAATATTAACGATAAATTGTCGTGCAGTTTGACATTAATATAAAATACATTGGAATTAATATAAAATACATAAAATTGTTTAAAATATGTCAAAATATGCACGAAATATGTACGAAATATGCAAATATGCATAAAATATGCAAATATGCAAAATATGTACAAATATGCAAATATGCAAAATATGCACAAATAAATATGCATTTTTAAAATGCTTTTTTAATAAAACACATTTCTACTTTAGTCTTACTTTTCAATCCGCACTCTGAAAAAATATGCAATTGCATAAAAATCTGATGTCTAGTCATAAATCAGAAGTCAGAAGTTAAAAACTGGCGACTGATTGATCAATTTTTAGCTTCTGACTTCTGATTTATGATTAATGGTTTATTATAGAAGGCCCATAAGATGTCTTAAGGATAATATTTTTAGGACGTCGTAAATCGACGCATAAGACATCTTAAAGATGTCATTCGGATACTTCCAAAAAATATCTCATGAATTTTAGGACGTCTTTATGTCTTATAAGATGTCTCAATGTTCTCTGGGACAATTATCTAATTCTACGCAAGTGCAGGCATAAAATGCTTATATCGACAGTCACGAAAATTTGAATAGTTTGAAAAGTTTTTGAATTTAAAAGTAAATTAATTCATAAATAATATAAGAAAACAAATCGGCTTCTTAACATCAATTAATTGATTAATTTTTTTTGCTGTGCAGTGAAAAAATAGACGGAGCAGAAAATAGCATAGATCAGGAAACGCGGGAAAGATTGATATTTAAAATCCTTATGGGCCTCGAGGAAGAAATTGCACTTCTTTCGAATATCCTGACGCAATTTAATGATATCAATCAGGTAGGGGAGATCGGGGACAAAAATAACAAGGGGACAATAGCAACATCGTTAATATTTCTTAAATAATAGATATGAGTATGCGGTTGTATGATAAAATTCTGTAAATAGAGAGAGATTGAATCGTTCGTTACACACTAATTCTTGCGGAACGTATACGAGTGCAGAAGCAAAAATTACTTTTTCCATACATTAAGTAAGTTTTATTATGTGCACAAAATCTAAATTTTTTTTTCTTTCTTTATAACGAAGGTGCAATGTATTATCTTAATGTTTTAATTATCTACGTTGATGGTTTGCACATTTGAGTTGATTTTTATCTAGATTTTTATTTAAAAAATTTACTATAAATCATAAAATACCATTAGGGGATGATAGTAACATGCCTGGGGTCAGTTGTAACGTTACACTTGTCCCCGAACTTATTTGATTTTATTTTAGTATTATTTTGTACAATGTTATTTTTCTTCATAGAATGCTGTTAACAAAAAAAAGAACAGATAAGAGAAAAATTACATAAAAGAAGTGCCTTTATATAAATAGACATTTAAAGAGATTATAAAGGGCCAGTTATCCATTCGAGCAGCTGTAAGAAAGAGTCTGACTTATATAGTTGTGTTATGTACCTTTGGCAAATGTAGTACAGTTATCCCCCCTCTGTTACAATTGTTCACGGGGTTGGGACGATTGTAACAAAATTCCTCATAGTCTTTAAACAAACATAACTTTTTTCTAGTTACATAAAAAAATTAAACCAAAGAAAATTTTGTAGTTAAATAAATTCTACATCTAAAGATACATATTTTTTAAATGTAAATTATATTTAAATTGTTATAACACTTTAAAGTGAAAATGTTACTTTTGTCCCTGGTCTTCTCTATTATCTTCATTCTGTTAACATAGAAAAAACAATATTTGAATCTGCGATTTCAGGATTTGAAGAATTATTTGATTAATTTAGAAAACGCTAGAAGCAAGATATCTTTAAAGGACAAATTAATGCAAGAATTAATTAAGGGAACATCTTATCGACCAGCGCTTGAATTGCTCCTGCAGTGGGCTACGGAGGGTTATCAATTCTTTCATAATATGTATTCATCTTTTTAAGAACAGCTGTGATAAATGAGATTTCAATATCTAATTATTATGTTTTGTATGCATTAGGTATCTTCGTATCAGCGATTGTATGAAATCAATTGATTACAAGACAGAAGAGACTATCAACAATCTGATTTCTTCTTTCGTGGAAGAGGATCGTGGAAGAAAGTATATAAATAGTAGGCGTAATTTATTTCTTTTCCAATAAAAGTAATAAAAGCTATTAAAAGAGTATTATATAATAATCCACATATATGAACCCAGTAAACGAGAATAAATTGAAACGGACTCAGTTCTTCAATAAAACGCATTCGCGAACGTTAAATGAATTCTTTTCAATCCGAATGCATTTTCTTTTTTAAAATTATATATGATCATCAGGCAGTTTTAAAATATGTTATCGTAAATTGAAAAATATATCGTCCAACTGCATACATCATGTTAACCATAGTCGAACCCCAGTGGAACAGTACAATTCTAGATCTCATTTTGTCTCTGTGACAGATTTCCTAACCTCAATAATCATTAACTTTAATGCTGAATCTACAAGTCTGTAGTCAGAAGTCTTACCCGTATAGTTTTTCATTATTTTAAGGCTGGAAGAAGCCTCCATGAAGAATTCCTCGATTCTCCAAGGCCTCCTTGTTTCATAAATGGATCTCAAGTCTGCCTTCCCGAAGGAAGGAATATTTTAGGGATTTTAGTAACCTACTCAAGGCAGCATGTCATAATATAGAGTATATGCAAACCTATTATCATGAATTACGAATAATAAAGGTTATAAAGGCATTGTTAATTAAATAAAGTCGTGATTAAGAATTTTGCAACAATAATGGACAAAAATAAAACTAATAGCGAATTCGATTGGACGCACTTATTGCCCACTGATGCACATTAAAACTATCGTACATACTCAAAATAACAAATATATATTTATAAATAAACATAAAAATCGATTAAATCATGAAATACTCAATACATTTTATTGCACTATTAGATAAAATATGTATTTCATAATTCAAGATATTTGCATTTTATTTTTATACTAAAATTAAATCAGTGAACGCTTTAATATACATCAGTGCTTCCAATCGAATTCGCCATAATGCTTATTATACAAAGAAGGAGAAAATACTTTTAACGTAGTTTATTTCCGAAAAAAAAAAAACTAAAATAATTATCAATGCGACAGATCTAAATTAAAACTATCGAAAATAAAAAGATCAATGTGATGAACTAAATTTGGTTTGATTGATTATGAAGGCTGCACCCCCTCCTCAAAGAAACTCGTAACCTTCTTTGAGAAAAGGAAGGTAATAAGGCTCCTTGTTTGATCAAGAAAGAAAGAAAATTATAATATTAATAAAAAAATAGATATTTTAAGATCTGCTAAAATATGTACTCATAATGAGAATATTAAAAATATTATTTATAGTATTGCCACTACAAAACAGAATATTAGATATTGTCACAAAGAATTCGTTCCGATAAAAATCAATAAAATTTCAACACAAGATGTTAGAAGGAACAATTCTATCGTTATTATTATTATTATTATTATTATTAGGCGTTAGGAACTCGAAAGCTCATTGCCGCAAATACCAAATCCCGCCACTGTTCCCTGGGCAAGATCCCTCCATTTGTGACCCTCGTACCCCATTTCGTTAAGGTCCATTCTAATATTATCTTCCCATCTACGTCTTGGTCTACCCAATGGTCTTTTCCCATCCGGTTTACCAATTAGTACTTTATATGTAATTCGATTCTCATCCATACGCGCTGCGTGACCTGCCCATCTTAATCGACGCGATTTTATGACATTAATAATATCCGGACTATTATATAATTGATGTAATTCTGCGTTGTGTAATTTTCTCCATTCGCCCGTTTCCTCATCGCGTTTTGCCCCGATGATTTTTCGAAGTACTTTATTTTCGAAAGCCCTAAATCTTTTCTCGTCTTGTAATGTAAGTGACCACGCTTCGCTGCTATAAAGGACTACCGGACTACTATTCTATCGTTACACATCATAATAATGTCGGTCCGGAGAAACTTGTTTTTGATTACAAATTAAACAACATAAATAAGAACTGATTGATTAACCTCAGTAATATTGACATTCCTGAAAATGCTAAATTCATATTACAATTAGGTCAACGTTTCAATCTACCGAATAACGTTACTAATAAGGAAAAAATTACAATAGAATTGATCAAACATATAGAAAATAATTTAGTTAAATTGGATGAAAGAACAAAGAATTCTATTAGAAAAGAGGTCATATCTATTCTGAATAATATAAAATTTAGTTTTTCGAATAATTTGAATGATATTTTGATAAAAAAAGAGCTTAAAGAACTCAATTAGTTTATTGCTAATTACCCTGATTTGTTAATTACTAGAGTGGATAAGGGCAATATAACGATTATACTTTAAGGATTACCATAATGGTATAATAATAAAATGCATAAAATTTTGTCTGATAGCAACACTTACAGAACGTTAAAAAAAGATCCTATTAGTAAATTGACAACGGAAATACGTACACTTTTGACACGTTGGAAGACTAAAGGTTTCATTGATCAATCTTTATATAAAAAATTGTATATATCGGATGGAGATTAACCGATCTTATGGGCTCCCCAAAGTGCATAAAGATGGTTATCCTTTAAGAATGATTGTTAGTTGTATCAACAGTCCCTTTTTCAATTTAGCTGTTTTTCTAAAAAATGTTATTGACAAAAGTATTTAAAAAAATTTTAGTTACATTAAAAACAGTTTTGATCTTGTTAAAAAAATTAATGGTATGTCATATGGTATATTACAGGAAGATTACCAAATCATATCTTTTGACATTACTTCTATGTACTCTAATATTCCTAATGAGTTAGTATTAAAAAGTGTCTTGGAAAGATGGAACTTGATATGCAATAACACGTCAATACTTCTCCACGAGTTCAAAATAGCAATTTCAATTATTATAAAGTCTATTTTTTTTAAATTTAATGATGTAATTAATGAACAAATATTCGGTCTGCCCATGGGATCTCCTCTCTCTCCAATTCTAGCGGATATGGTAATACAAAATTTGGAATGTAATATTTTTAAGATATTAACTACACATATTTCACTTTATTATCGCTATGTGGACGATATTATTATCTCAGCTCCAAACGATCACATTAATAAAATACTATGCTCTTTTAATTCTTACTATGAAAGAATGAAATTTACAGTCGAATATGGTGACAATAGAGGAATAAATTTTCTGGATGTAAAACTTTAATTGAAGATGGGAGAATTATTTTTGACAATTATAAGAAGCCTACAAATTCTGGAAGATACTTAAACTTTTTTTCTAATCATCCGATAGAACATAAAAGGGATGTTGTAATTGGACAGTTAAACAGAATCCTATTCCTTTCCCATCCAAAATTCTATGAGAATAATATCATTTCTCTAATCAAAATTTTCCAACAAAATAGATATCCATCTGAATTTTTATTTACAACGATTAATAGGAACTCTGTCTTTCAAAAATATTGGGTCGTCTGGAAAGTTCGTGCGTATTTTCCGGACGACCCAATAATTTCGAAATGATCAAAGAACATAAAGATATTTTTAACTCGGATTTCTCTAGTACTAAAAAGTTTTTTACCATTCTTTATTACAAAAAAACTTTGGAAAAATTTAAATTCTTTACAAAAAAATTCTACTTTAATATAGCTTACAAACCAATGAATTGTATGAACACTTTCATAAAAACAGGTAAAGATAAAATTAAAATGAAGATCATTCGAATGTCGTTTATAAAATTAACTGTCATGACTGCAATTATTTTCATGTAGGACAGACAAAAAGGAAACTAAAGACGCGACTAAAAGAATATATAAACGATTTAAAAAAACCTACTAATTCTTTGTCTGTTACTTCTTGTCACAAATTTGATAATAATCATACGATTGACTGGGATAATGCTAGCATTCTTGATTTCGAACATTCGTATAATATTATAAAAGGATGGTCTCCGAGATGATACATATCAAATGACAAGAAAAAGGTTTAAACAGAGTGACACAGAACGCTTCCCTGAAATTTACCTACCATTGGAAAAAGCCCCTCTACTCACACTTAGAATTATTCTCTTTCTCATTCATTCTTATTTTCTCTCCTTTCCTCGTATAATATATAGACTGCCGCTAGCTATAGTTCTTCGTAATTGTCAGAAATAATTTTTTAAACAGTGTTCCAAGAGTTCGGCTTTTAAGTTTTATTACTCCGAGTTATAGTTGCGAGGATTTGTGTCATAAGATACATGGTAAGTGATCGTTCATTGTAAATTGATAGTAATTTTCGCGATAATAATTACAAGTATTGTATTGGAAAAGTTGTTAAAAGCGTAATAATTTTTTTTTTAATTTTACTTATTTAGAATCTGGGAATTCCGTATTTTCACACGAAGTCGTTCATTGCTTCTTATGAAAACAGGAATCATAATTATAATAAAGAATACATCAAAAGATTTTAAATATTAATTTTAATTCTCTGTACTTCAACTCAAGCTATAAATTCATACCATAAGCGATTGGAAAATTATTTCATCATCTATCGGACTTGCGAGCATTGCTTTCAATTTTATGTAATTTTTTTTTAATGTCATCTTGATATTATTGTACTACCTTCGAATATTGTTTAATTAATTTTTTGTAAATTTTTTATTTTTTGTCATCTTTGTTGTACTGATGATGGTCAAATCTTCACCGAAACGTCTACTTTTTTATATGAGAATTTTAAATATATAACTTGTGTTAACATCTATTGGTGTGGCTATATACTCTCTATTATTTATATTTTGTATTTCTTAGCCACCTTCAAACATTTTTAATTTTGATCAAGAAAGGTTTATGAAACGTGAAATAAGGAACAAAAAATCCTCATTTCTCAAGGAAGGATTTCTCTATGAATACGAGTATTAGACTTAATCGGTGAAATTGGTCAATAGCCAACTTGTACATACGACTAACGTTGATTGGTCAACTATCGATTTAAGGCTAATACTCGTATTCATAGTTCTTTCTTGAGGAATAAGGATTCCTTGTTCTTCATTTCACGTTTTATAAACTTTCCTTGACCAAATAAGGAGCCTTATTAGCTTCTTTTTCTCAAGGAAGATTACGAGTTTCCTTGAGGAGGAGGTGCAGCCTTCATAATCAATCAAACTACCAAATTTAGTTCATCACACTGGTCTTTTTACTTTCGATAGCTTTTAATTTAGATCTGTCGCATTGATAATTATTTTCGATAATTTTTTTTCCGGAAATAAACTACGTCAAAAGTATTTTCTCCTTCTTTGTATAATAAGCATTATGGCGAATTCGATTGGAAGCATTGATATATATTAAAGCGTTGTACATTGATTTAATTTTAGTATAAAAATAAAATGCAAATATCTTGAATTATGAAATACATATTTTATCTAATAGTGCAATAAAATGTATTGAGTATTTCATGGTTTAATCGATTTAATCGATTTTTATGTTTATTTATAAACATATATTTATGTTATTTTGTTCCGGAATTATCGTTATAATCTTTTCATATTCTTGAAGCAAGCAAACAGCGCGTCGACACCAAGCGATCAAAACACGAGCATATCTCGATCCTGTGCTAATCACGCTATTTGTCTCAAATGGCACGCAACTCCCCTTGCGTAAATCCAGAAAATCATCGATCGCGCACACGCTTCGTGTGAGAATAGTGAGTTCGCC